CGTTCCAATTTTAACAGATGTCCCGAAGGACAGACATCGTTGAAACTGGTAAGGGTAAGAGAAGGTGGTTTGTCTCTGTGCCTTGCGTGAGCCTCTCGGTTGGGGTATTGTGCTCGGGGGGGGTGTGGGGTGGGGGAAGGGGTGTGTCTGGGGGGGAAGGGGGGTCTTCAGGGGGGCTTAGGGGGGTTTAGGACCTTATTAATATTTATTTCAAACCCCCTGCGGGTTATCCGAGTTAATATTTATTCGTGTTTTGATTCACTTTAAGGTCCGTGTTTCAGCAGTTATGGGACCACTGAGCAGAGGGAGTTTCTGGGCAATAGCAGGCCAACTCACCACGTGCTTTTCAGGGCTTCCCTCCACTAAAAATGTGCAAAACTAGAATGAATCTTCTGCTAGAACATGGAACCGTACGCCGCCATATGTTTTGTCTTTTGTGCAAGTGGTGATGAGTGAAGCAAGGCCCTTAGGGCCACTTGTCGTAGGGAAAGGAAACAAAAGAAAGAGGGGAATGAATCTTCTGCTAGAACATGGAACACATACGCCGCCATATGTTTTGTCTTTTGTGCTGGTGACGAGTGGAGCAAGGCCCTTAGGGCCACTGCTCGTAGGAAAAGAAACAAAACAAAAGAAAAAGAAACAAAAGTAAGTAGTTGTAACTTGTAACCCATAACTGCTCGAAAACGGACCTGACTTCGGATCCAGAACATATATTGCTGGCGTGCTCTTCTTTCATACGAAATTCGCTGAACATCTCTTGAGATGTTGGGACCCTTGCATATGTACTGCTGGGGTCCTCCGCGAAAAAGACCATTCAAGAAGGAATACGTGGGCCCTATTTTTTTTTCTGTGGGGAGGTGTACCGTTGGCTACCTCAGCCAGCCTTCTCCAAATTTTTTTGTATACCCTATTTAGTGGGGTGCGCATGCATGCTTACACGTGCGTTATGCGCTGCACGTGCGGAGCTCGCGCGCACGCGATACGCCGCAGGTATGGGTTGGAGTATAGGCGGAGTATAGGGGTGATATARGGGATATTGGGGGTGTTAATAAGGATGTTGGGGGCGGTTCGGGAGTGTTAGGTTGGTGTATGTGGGTATTGGGGGCCGCTATGGGGGTGTGGGTGGGGTTATTAGGGGTTCTGGATCCCAAAAAAAAACAAAAAGTGTGGGGTGCCGATGATCCCCGACTGCTAGGTGCCGACCAGCCAATCGTTCGGCGGGTCGGCAGCCGACCAGTCAAGGGCCGCCGACCGTCGGGGTGTGCAACCCTGCTCCCAAGTGTCTTTCCCATCTCTGTCCCGTGTAGTGTCTGTTGGCTTCTACCTCAGTCTAAGCTTGTATCCCAACTTAGTAGTATAGGTTCGCCCGCATCAACAGATAGGAGTGATGTTAAGAGCATGCACTCCTATCTGTCCTGCGGGGGGCTCCAGTCTATTGGTGGGGAGCTACACCTGCTGGAAAGCAGGTCCAGCATCCCTTGAGATACAGCGTTAAATTGTCGATACAACACGTACTGGGAATCGGGGCCAGCATTCCTCATGAATCCTGATTCTGATACTATGAAAAAATTGATGAAGAGACTATTGTTACTGCTGATAATGAGTCAACAACTGTGGATCAGACCACAAGCACCGATGAGTACATTGTGCTGAGGCAGATGTCTCTTGGCCCTTTAGTCTTGCTTTTGCCCACTGGTGCTACCTCTTCACCCTTTTGCTGGGTGCCATATCTTACACTAGAACCTAGTAGCCATCTCACAATTCTCAAAGGATAAATTGAAAGCCAGATTCAGAGAAAACATCAAGGTATCCCCTCCAATTCCTTACCGTACCAACTCATGGGAACCAGGGATAAGGAGAGGGGGGGGAGGGTCTGGGAACTCTGAAAGAGGGCGGAGGGGTACAGCTGGGTCCACATTTGTCCAATCATGGAATGACAGGTGGTAGTCCTGTTGAATTTCCTCACTTTGCGCATCCCTGTTCTCTCTCCTGACCCACCTCCTTTGATCTTTCCTATCGTAACCCCTTGAGGTCCCCCAAGCCAAGCGCCATTGAATAGTTGGATGTGATGTTGAATTTCCTTTTTAGACGATAAAAAAGGGATTTTTTCTTTAATTTTATCCCACTAAGCAGTAATTACTGTCTGTACTTGCAATTTGATTGCTTCTGTAAAGTCCGGGCCGTCCACCCTGGCCCCCTCCATTTCAAAAGTGCAGCGACGCCGCCATCAGGCCCAGAGGATGGCTCTTTTGCCAGTTATAAATAGGTTATTTGAGAAATCATCTAATTTGTCCGGGGCCCAGGTCTCACATAATAGACCCCGACAATCCCAGGGCCAAGACAGTGGAGAATTAGAAGTGCTCCAGATCCTATCCTACCACCACCACAGCCAGACCGCACCTGGACACCGAAGAAAGATGTGCTCAATGGTCTCTAGAATGAGTCTGGATGGGAACGCAGAGGAACACAATTTACACCAAGGTAGTGCAATGTCTTTCTCTTCCAACGAGGTCCTATCTATGAGCCAGTCATTTGGTGGGAGGCATCGATGGTCTATTTGCCACTGTAAAGAGGCAACTTTTGTCGGTTTGATCTTGCAAGTTTTGAACCACTCGACCTTTCTAAGATCGTCCTTGCTTACATTTAGATGTTTCATCCACCTAGTTTCTACTCGACCCTCAAATCCAGTCTAGGCCTCAACATGCAGTAAATAGGTTTAACCTTCAGTGAGTGGATATTAGGAGTGCACTTTCTTATTTTCCTCGTAGGAATCGTCCATGACCAATAGACCAGATTAGTGCTAATTTATTAATTGCGCAAGATGGTTTGAAGGCAGTCCAGTGGTCCTTCAATTTCAGAACTCTAATCCTGAACACCTGGCCTGCTTTGATCCATCTGGTTTCTTTAGTGTGACTTTCCTGGTTAAGTGAAAACAAGGAGAGTAAAACACATCCCTCTTCCTTCACTACTACCACGTTTCCTGCGTGTTGGGCACACCCCTGTATACCCGCCCAATCACTTTCTTTAAGTTGGGGACCTTTTATGAGGATCCTTATCCATTCCAAAGGAATAGCTTCAATAATTGTATCAAGTGCCCCTGTTGTTCTCCTACAATAGCGTAGGCTAGGCAAGAGCTCAGGGAGATGGTACCAATCCAGAGTCTCTGGGTTCCGGATGTCCCCAATCCTAAGGACCTCGTTTTTAACCCACCCCCTCCAAGGAGAATCCATGCAATGAAACATCCTGCCATGTGAGTCAGTGACCCACCTATTATTGAAAGGGGTTGTTGACAAACCTCTTCCCACCGATTTCGGGAGATTTTATCCGATAGAGGTAGTTTGCGCCAAGTTTTGAGAAGATCTGGCCAAAAGGGGTCATTTTTAATGTCCATTCTTGTGGCATGGTGATGTGGTTTCAAAACCTGGCTTAAGGATTGTACTCTATCTCGTGGGATGGACCAATATCAATTTTCTGGCCATATGTGAGGATTGAGCCCTCAAGTAGGGGCCTTGCCATGATGTACATGTTCTGGGCTAAGGCCCCAGCAAGCCTCGTGCCCGCCCTAAGTGAAGGCGGGCCAGCAAATCAACAAGAGCCCTCTGTGCCAACATTTCACGAAGTGGGGTCCATACAGTTGCAGCACGCCAGTTGGTTGGAGTGCTCCGAGTCTCGGATTTCAGCAAATGCTGAAAGCCCAGGGCCTCTGAGTTAGTTAGGCCCTGGGCACTCGAACGTGAGGCCGACAATGCATGCTGGGTATAGAGGCCGAAAATGCCAAAGGGAAATCGGCCCACTATCTGAATCTGGCCTCCGGCCTTGATGAAAGAGGCACAACTGTATTGCCCCGGGGCCCAACTGTATCGGGTTGGCTTCAGGCTCTGGGTCCCGGTCACAGGCTGAAGGGAGGCCGCCCACACGCTGCACTGGCATATAGGCAAGCAGGGCGAGTGGGCAGGGATCTTGGCCATTGCGGGCAATGCCGGCACGCTGGGCGAATGCGAGCTGCTGCTGCTGCTGCGCTGCGCTAAGAAAGGTGCAAGGCAGGCCAGCGCTATGCGGTAGGGCGCTGCCTGCGCACCAGAGCACTGGCGGCCATAGCCGGGCCGCATGGGGGTGCAGTGAGGGTGAAGGGCGAAGGTGGTCTTCGGAGTGAAGGGCGCTGTGTGGGTAACAGGGAAGAGTGTGGGTGAAGAGGACACGTACCTGGTGGAGGTGGAGGTCAGCATTGGTGTTGACATCATCACTCACTGGTAGTCAAGTTGTCTGGTTGCTTTCATTGCTGTAGCTGTAGGCTAGGCTGTAGAGTAGATAGCGCGCCTGGCGCCATTCACAAGAGAGAGCTACATTTGGGTTATGCTGTTGGTGTTGCCCTGTTGGGCATGGAAATTGACTCACGATTCTTCTGTATCATTCTCAATTGGATGGTTACTCGGTTCCATTGTGCTATCTGCTTTGGCTTGGTCTACTTGGACTTCAGTGTGATTTTGCATTCTGGATTTCTGTGCTTCGTCCATATTCATGTTCCTTGCACATATCATCGGGTCTATCCCCTTTGGGACTTCAGAGGCAAGTCTCTAGATCTGTTCTTTGGCTAGAGCTAACCAAGGAGTCTCTGGATTGAAAAGTAACCGTTTGATCCATTGGATAGAGAGCGCCCTGGCTTGAGTGGAAGGATCTAGGATTCCCAACCCCCCTCTTGGTTTAGGTTGAATTACCCCCTGCCAAGCCACTCTCCTCTCATATTCTATGCCCACCCCACTGGGTCTATTTCCAAATCCTCTATCGGCGTCGTAGGGCAATAGTTGGTGTATTCCTCATTTTCTATCACCCTTACCTTTCACATGTGGTCCAGTTTTATGCAAACCTGGCCCTTAGAAGAGCTGGAAACTGTACTTGTTGTGGCTCTTGGGTCCTCTATTGTGTACATGTCAGCGGTCAGTCACTCTTTTCCAGATCCCTCTCTTTTCGGAATCCTGTGTACTCTAGCCGGAGCCTCCTCTTGTGACCAAGTCGCCCATTCTCCCCTTTCCCGTGTTTTCAGTTCCCGCAGCAGCTCTCTGTCCCATTCTGCGGTGTCGAGATGAAAGCATCACTCAGATTCTCCAGCAGGTTGTTGCAGCCCTTTACTGTTTTTCTCAGTTTTTGGGCTGTCCAGTTCCGTGATAAAATCAAGAGGAATCTGTGGCTGTGTCACACTTTTAGTTTGAAATAGGCAAGAAAAGACAAAGTGGCGCTGTTGTCATGGTGTGAGTTTGAAAATGTGCAAGCTTAGCGCTGGTTTAAAACAGCGTGAGTCATTAGCCGCTGTAGTGAATGCAGTTTTAGGGTTTTGCCTTGTTTGCCATTTTCTTAGAACTGCTAAAGTTGCCCATTCTGAACATGGAGTGTGACTTGAAAGTACTTGCCCCTGAAATCAAATAATAAAATGTAAAACGTAGGACATGAATGTTGAACAACCCATGTTCTGGGCCAGGAGAGCCAGACTGCAGCCATACATCAGTTCTGCTGATCGTTGCTGAGGCTCCATCTATTGGTGGAGAGTGTCACCTGTGTGTCCTTGTCTTTGTCCCCTCCCTCCCAACCCAGGCACACACAAACAGAGTTTGATTACATAATACATATATTTTCCTTCAAAAAAAAAACAAATAAAACAGGCCCTTATGGATCTGGCTCCATAATAGTCGATATCCCGTCTGGAGAGTGTCAGTCCGGTTCATATTCCACTGACAAGTCGATAAAAGAGAGATTACATATTATATTCTTGTTTCTTGGTTCGAAATTCAAATGTTTCTGACAAATGCAGGTCATGCTGACAGTTCAGCCAACATGAATGATCCACGTTCGATTTCTTTTTCAAGGGAGCGGGAGTCGGCTTTCAGCCAGTCTGCAAATGTCACACAGGGCACAGGAGTTTCCAAAAACAGGCCAATGGGGCTGGATGTCAACGCCTTCCTTCCGGTATGTTAGGTGAACCACCGCACAAGATACTTTGCTCGTATTTTGGCAGTCCTTCAGTGTTCTGTTGGGGGCATTGTTGAACTTGTTGCAAACCTTCTCTTTGACTTTAAAAAAGGAAAAGGAAAAGAAATTATTGAATGAATATAACAGTGGAATATGCTTAAAAAAGAAACAAAAAAAAGCGACTATATTCAACGAGTATAACAGTGGAACATGCCAAGCTCTGCCTGTCGTTCACACGCATTGGTTATTCCTGAATGCAGAAGGGACGTTTCTTGGTCATAAATGAGGAGAGGCCGGCAGTCAATGATGTGCAGTTGATTGAGGAGTTGATGCAGCAGCACAGCACTGTGGCAAGCATAATGCACACAAGGTTGACGAATGTGCGGGTAGGTGAAAGGGATTTTTTTCCTGCTTTTCAGAATCTTTTCTACCACTTGTTGTCTCTTGGTATTGCATCTGGAGTGTTTTTGAAGTTTTCAAATGTAGGGGCTGCCTGGGCTGCCCGGTTGGCCCGGCCAGCAAGGTCCCAGGCAAGGTCCCACCGTCCCAGACAACCCCAGTGCAAACAAAAACAAAAACGAAACAAAACAAGCAGAATCATAGTCGCAAACGCACAGGCCGCACACGCCGTGCGGTGCAGTCCACCATGTGACACGTGGAACCTGCCCGTGCACCACACCAGCAACACTTTCTGTTTTCTTCTTTTTTTTTTTTGCTGTTTTCATAAATGCAGAAGGGTGTACTACCTAAGGAAGAGATCCTGTTGAGCATCAGAAATAGCCTCAAATAGGTCTCTGAAACATCAGTCTTGACGGTCAGGCGGGGACATTACTCTTCCAGCTGTTCTTTTTTTTTTTCATGCTCGTGTGCCGTATGTGCCTGTGTGCCGCACGGGTCCTGTGCGCTTGTTCACCATATGTGCGCAATTGCCCTCATGGTGTGCGCTTGCATGTATGATCTGAGATTCTGAATGAAAAGACTACGTTACGAAAGGACTGCAAATCAAGCAAGTTGTGGAAGGATCACTCCGAAATTCGTTATTAAATTTTCAAAATAAAATTAAGAAATTGAAAAATGAAACTATCTTACAGCCCTTTCAGCCCCTTTAACCCCCCCCTTTAACTCCCACTTATATCAGACAGATCCCCTGAATTGAGGCATCACCAAAGTCGAAGATAAAGCCAGATTTGGGCACATCTCAGTGGGCACAGAAATGCCCCACCATGAGGTTCTTTTTTTTTTTTTTAATTCATTTTTTGGCGTGCCCAGGTGACCCAGGAAGGTGGGGTGCAGCCAGCTCGCCCAGGTGGGCTGGCTGGGCAAGTGGCCCCAGGCCACTCTCGGTAGCCTAGTTTCAAAAACAATTTACTCAATTTTACAGTTATCCTTGTGCTCTATTGCAGGAATTCCCTTCTTGGTGCCTTTAAAGTTTAAATCCAGACTGGATATACGGCATCATGGTCCATGCCATGACTGATGTTACTGATTTCTTACATAATGATGTTGTTGCGAGGACTGAGCCCTCACGGGGCCCCAACAGACATGCAAATGTTCTCGGGGGCCCCAGCAAGCATTGTGCTCGCCTTAAGTGAAGACAAGCCTGAATATCCTCAAAAGGCCTACTTTCAACATTTTCCATATGTGGGTACTCAGACAGTTGCAGCAGGCCAGTTGGTACAGAGAAATGTGAGCCTCCAGGCTCTTTCCAGCAACAAGGGGCGCGCTGTACAGTGGAGCCCAGTGCTGGGTGGTTGCGCCCTGGGCACACGCATTGTGAGGCCGACACATCACGCAGCGGCCATGGACGAATGAGAAAGCAGCATTGTCGTCACACTACCTCCACAAGCCAATGAGAATGCGGCCAACACTTGGAGCCTGGAAGGCTACCCGTACGTGCCCAACCAAAAAGGGCCCAGGCCCTTAACTGTAGAAGTGGGCGTGGGCGCAGACACCGGGGCTCGTCTGGAAGCTACTGGAAACTTCCGCCAGCCAGGCCCACTTAGACACACACAGGGGCTGCACATTCCATAAAGGAAAGAGGCCCGACCAGGCAAAGGCATTCTGGCCTAGGCAGGCAATGTGGACACGCTGCTGCGTTGCTGCGCAAGTGTCTGCATGGGCGCTGCTGGTCGGACGCGCGCACGGGCGCAGTGGTGAGAGAAGCGCTGCTGAGGCAGTGGGCGCACAGCAGCCATGGCCGGGCAGCTGGGGCGCAGGGCAGGTGATGGCAAAGGTGGTCTTCAGGTAGGAGGCACATGATGTGGGAAGACGAGGGGTGATGACGAGAGGAGAGAGAACATACGTGGTGTATGCTGGTGATCGGCATTGGTGTTGATGTCACGTACATTGGTCTTCAACTTCAGAGTGATCCAGTTGCGAGAACATAGATAGGCTAGATAGGCTGGGCGCTGGGCGCCAGACAGTAAGTGCGACATTGGATACAGTGTTGGTGTGACCAGAGAGTGGCAACATTGACATTCGAGTTCATTGTATTGCTCTTATTTGGACGGTATCTTGGTGCATTGCAGTCTCTGCTTGGTTCATGACTATCTGAGCTACTCGTGATTTTGCAACTTGGATTTCTGTCTATCCCTCTCGGTCATATTCCTTTTTCTTGCCTAACCAAACTGTCCGCAATCTCTTTTATGTCGAAGATTGTTCCTCTGGCCCCGTGCTGCAGCAGGACAATTTACCAACACTCTGTGACCTTCTCCTTTGCACAGCTACAGATACTGTTACACTCGGCTGTAGCCGCCGTCGTCTCTGTCACAATCACTATGATGACATGGTTTCTGCATCCATGTGTAGAGGACCCTCCATCCGTTCCTGACTGCAGGGACCCTCCGCATCCAGACACTATATGTCCATTTTGTGGCATGGGCGCATAGTCGCATACTGAATGCGGGGAACCTTTGATATCAATGATTACTCCCAATAGGGAGGATTGACTGCTGCATACGCCCAAAAATAATTTCAGTCCCTTCCCAATTACCTTCCTACCCTTCCCAAATTTCACAATTATGTTATGATTCTGGTTGTCCGTTGTCTGAAGACCAACACTCACTCACATAGACTTCCAGGTATCCCCATACATACACAGAAGGAAGGGGAGAGGATAGGAGTATCACACCGCACAGGGAGAGAGAAACAGAGCGGAAGACTTGACCATGCGATATGACAGGGTACACTGAAAGTGCAATTCACTCCACTCAATCCTCACAACCAGTAATAAAGGAAAGCCGAGTAGATCACATCCAGGAAACAATGAAACGATGATGGTCCAAACCCAGTATCACACTGTTTATTACTAGGAAGATTCTGACGATCCGCCGGTCACCCGGGCAGGTCCAACGACCGGGTCACCCGGTCGTGTGAAAAAAATAGCCTATTTTTTTTTATTTTTTTTGTCGGTCCAGGGGGTTGTTCTGCGCATTGGGAGATGAGCACGAATCCGGGGTCATTTCGAATTTTGGGGATTTTGGGATTTGGGGGGTGGAAGGGGGGGGGGGGGGGGGGAGGGGGGCTTTCTCTCCTTTTGTGCCCACCAT